TTAGTCGTGTGGGGATGCCCCCTTACGGGGGCGTACGTGTCTTTTGGTGTATTAGTCTGTCTGGTATATTGTTTGTCGGGGGTCGCAATTTTAAAGAAATGTATTCAAAAATAATGCAAATAACTGATAAATAAAGTAAAAACTTACCTGGGCATAACCCCGGCACATATACCTGTAACAAAGATGCCGACGGCCTCTATGCTTGAGCCGGGGATTAGGTCGGTGGTTAAGAGGAAAGAAAAGGATACTTTCCAGGTAGCCTTAATAAAGGCAGGTAGATCTTGCTCGTTGCAATGCACTTCACTTTACAATAAACACGTCCGCTCAGTTCGACCGCTCGCACGAGAATCACAAAAGGGTAGAATTCATATTAGTTGCAGAATATAATATATTAAAAATTAATTTTAATTTTGTGTAAGTATTACAGTGAAAACTACAAATATTAAGATTGTACAGTTTTTTCAAAGTATATAGGAATTATGTTTGAATATGTTTGGGAACTGTTTTCAAAAGGTATTTAGAAGTGGCATTTTCAGGCCATAAAATAATTTTTCTGTATACTTGTAATAACTGACTAAGTAATGTTATAGTACAGTTTTTATGAAATAAGGATATACTTAGTAAATACCCAACATAAATCTTTAATAAAAATTGTTGAATATCTATTAAATAAAGGTAAACAACAGAAAATGTATTCATTAATTAATGTTGATAATGTTATGGTATTTTAGGTTAAATTTTTTAGAAGAATAAGAAGTTTTGAATTTGGAGTAGATACGATAGATTTCTTTCATCAAATAAAAGATTTGCGAACAGTTAAAAAGGAATAACTTCATAAATCAGTCAAGTTTGTATGTAATAAAATGTCAATGTTGGTAGCTATTTATAATCAAGAAACCATCAGCATTGTAGCTAGGGGCTGATGGCGAGGGTGGCGGTCAAGGAACTACACACAGCTCTGCATGCTGCGGGTTGCGAATGCAAGGGGCTCATTAAAGACTTATGTACTTAAATGTTATGATGTAATATTTTGTTTTTAAAAAAATATATAGTATATAATTTTTTGTAGGTAAAAAATATGTCGACTTGGAGTATTGTCAGAAATCCCCCAAAGATGTTTCGTATAACCATCGTAAATGTTAGAGATAAAATTCATTATATATGATGGGTTAAAATTTCAATGTTATAAAGTTAAATTGAGGATATTAATAAAATAAAGACAAATAAAATGTAGTTCAATGCCATATTTTTTAACAAAATGTGGTGAAAGCCAGTTAAATTGTGTAGATAGTGACCAATCTTTGTCAGTAGTATTTATTTTATTTACATTAAAAAGAAATGGTTTTAAAGGAGACGTATAAATTATTCCAGTAAAATAATACCTGTGCAGTCGATTTTCTTGTAAAAAATATCTAACTAATAACTTTTTTTAGAAATTAACATGCCACATTTAAGTATATGGGAAAAATTATAAAGAAAAACAAATAGCTGTTGTAGCAGTTATGTCGACAGGAAAAGATTTGTTAGTGTAGGCATGTAGGTAGGTACCTATGTAAATAATTATTGTATAAAGATTAAGTAAATTTATAATGTAAAAATAAGATATTGAAAGGTAACAAATTTATTTTAGGACTTACTTTCTTGAAGAAAAATATATATTTCACAATATCAGAAATTAATTTAACCATCATAAATGATAGAGATAAAATCCATTATATATATATATAGTAGGTTAAAATTTCAGTGTTATAAAGTTAAATTGAGAATATTAAAAAATATTTCAGTGCAATTAACTTGTGATATAAGAAGAAAATATTTTGTATTTGGAGTTTATTCTAAATACAATTTAATTTATTTCATTAAGATTTTAAAGAGATGTTTCTTTGAATTTAATATATTGTATAAATAGGTATTAAAGAAGAAATAAGAAAATAATAATTATGCCAATTAAGTGTTGTTTGGTGTATGTTGCAAATATGAAACAAATTTGTACCGGCAATATTTTTTTGATTCCTAAAGACAAATAAAATGTAGTTCAACACCACATTTTTTTAACAAAATGGAGCGATGAAAGCCAGTTAAATTGTGTAGATAGTGACCAATCTTTGTCAGTAGTGTATTTATTTTATTTACATTAAGAAGTAATGATTTTAAAGGAGACGTATTATATATTATTCCAGTAAAATAAAACGTGCAGTCGATTTTCTTGTAAAAAATATCTAACTAATAACTTCTTTTAGAAATTAACGTGCCATATTTAAGTATATGGGAAAAATTGTAAAGAAAAAAAAATAGCTGTTGTAGCAGTTTATGTCGACAGGAAAAAATTTGTTAGTGTAGGTATGTAGGTACCTACCTATGTAAATAATTATTGTATAAAGATCAAGTAAATTTATAATGTAAAAATAAGATATTGAAAGGTAACAATTTTATTTTAGGGGTTACCCTCTTGAAGAAAAATATATATTTCACAATATCAGACATTAATGTAACCATCATAAATGATAGAGATAAAATCCATTTTATATATGTATATACCTAGTAGGTTAAAATTTTAGTGTTATAAAGTTAAATTGAGGATATTAAAAAAATATTTTAGTGCAATTAACTTGTGATAGAAGATAATATTTAAAAATTTGGAGCTTATTTTATTCTAAACACAATTTAAATTATTTCATTAAGATTTTAAAGATATGTTTCATTGTACTTAATATATTGTATAAATATTAAAGAAGAATGTAAAAAATCATGAATAGGTATAATAAGAAAATAATAATTATGCCAACTAAGTGTTGTTTGGTGTATGTTGCAAATATGAAATAAATTTGTACCGTTAATATTTTTTTTTGATTCCTATAGACAAATAAAATGTAGTTCAATGCCACATTTTTAACAAAATAGAGTGGTGAAAACCAATTAAAGTAGTATTTATTTTATTTACATTAAAAAGAAATGGTTTTAAAGGAGACATATAAATTATTCCAGTAAAATAATACGTATGTAGTCAATTTTCTTGTAAAAAATATCTAATAACTTCTTTTAGAAATTAACATGCCATATTTAAGTATATGGGAAAAATTATAAAGAAAAAAAAATAGCTGTTGTAGCAGTTATGTCGACAGGAAAAAATTTGTCAGTGTAGGTATGTAGGTACCTATGTAAATAATTATTGTATAAAGATTAAGTAAATTTATAATGTAAAAATAAAATGTTGAAAGGTAACAAATTTTTTTTAGGACTTACTTTCTTGAAGAAAAATATATATATTTCACAATATCAGAAATTAATTTAACCATCGTAAATGATAGAGATAAAATCCATTATATATAGCAGGTTAAAATTTCAATGTTATAAAGTTAAATTGAAGATATAAAAAAATGTTTTAATGCAATTGACATGTGATAGCAGAAGATAAGGTTAAATATAAATAAAAAATAATGTTTATTATTTGTAATGATTAATTGTGAAAAAAAAATTGTTTTTTTTGTGACAACAGTGGATTTAAAAATACATGTTACTTACCGTATACTCGTATTTATTTAAAACTGAATGGTTAATGTTTTTACATAATTTTTTTCAAATTCTATCAATGTTATACAAATGTTTTTATCGTGCACTTATTTTAAACCTGGTGGAATCAATTAAAACTCGAGTTTTTTTAAGTGACAAAAAAAATATTTATTTAAAATACCTTCGAAAAAATTGTATTTATTATATGTAAAACTGAATATGTATCTATATTTTATATAATATGCTGGTAGGTGTTTTTATACTGTATGCACAATGTCAAATTATATATGTAATGTATAGTAGAAGGCTAACAAAGATGTTTTATTTAAATCGGTTAAAAATTTATTGAAGAATTTTCCAAAGCAGGTATTTTCTGAATTTGTTTTAATAACTTTTTAACTTGTTTTACATATGTACCTAAGTGAACAATTTTTTTTATAAAATGAAATTAATGTAATGTAGTTTGAAATAACTTTATTTGCCATAGTTTTCTTAGAATTAGTGTAGTTGAAGCTACTGCATGGAAGGCCAGAATGGTTAAATAATAATCACATATCCCTGCTGTGAAAAATAAACTTGAACAAAAAATGCTAAGTTTTTGAGACAGTTCCCGTATCAATGAAATAGGGTAAAAATTCTTTAATCCCAGGGAACGTTTCACAATTTTATAACTTGCACTCGCGAATAAGATCACTTGTTCTTTAGTCACTTTAACTGGTTGCTTACGGGGGTCCTCTGTGGAAGTGTAGGGATCTAGGGAATGTAATGGTGGATTCTTGTAAAAACACAAAACTTTCACTCTGCGTAGTCATAACTGGAAAAACAATTTTATAACCTGCACTCGCGAAGATAACTTGTTCTTTAATCACTTTAACTGGTTGCTTACGGGGGTCGTCTGTGGAAGTGTAGGGATCTAGGGAATGTAGTGGTGGATTCTTGTAAAAACACAAAACTTCAACTCTGCGTAGTTATAACTGGAAAACTAAAATTCATGTTTGATTCTACCAACGACAGGGTAAAAAAATACATATACTATACCTGTAGAAAGGGTTCTTGCAAGATACCCCAGACCAGATACTTATGTCTTCTGAGCAAACTTGGAAGTTGGTGGCTTTTCTCAGTTTTCTCAATGCACAGGTTTATTTTTCTTGACAGATGACAGAACTTGACAGATGGGGGCGGTTCGACGATCGCCAGTGATCGAAAACGTGGAGATAAATGTCCAAGATATATTTTGTGGGTCAAGGTTTGTTTAGACATGTCGCAGATTTGTACTGCAAACTGTAATGTAATCTTCGCAGAGGTTATTATTTTTTTTAAGCAATGGGTGGAAGCTGTCTTAAAACTTGTAGTGTTATTTACCGGTCGTTATGTTAAGTTAGAATAATGTATTTAACTGCCACAAAGCAAACGTTGGGCCACGTACTTCATTGGAACGCCTGTTAAACGTAATTTTCTTTTTGAGAAAAAATAACTATGCCAAAGCTTCACAGATATGTGAGGAACGATACAAAACTTCCCCCTTTTAGCTTCTTTTACACAAATTGGTGCATATAACGTTAAAAATTTTCAATTTTACACCGATCAAGGGATGGCGGCCATTTTGTGACATTTAAACTGACAGCGGTCACGATCACTTAGGACCCGTTGGAATTGTTGTGGAGGGCGAATATAATTTTTTTCGGAAAGCTCGAGGTATGGGAATGTCGTCCATACATAATTGGACAGGGGGAGCTGCACGAATGTCTCGTAAACGCCGGGAAAAGTAGGTTCTCACCGTCCCCGCCTCGAAGAGACGCCCATGGTTGAATGCACAAATTTTGTA